ACACTTTGTATGAGTCCGATTTTAAGACAGTATAGTAGTTGGTAGACTATGATTAAAGAGACGTTCATTTCAGTACGTTAAAATAACTGTTTAAATTAGTTCGAACAGTGGTGGTCTGGGTATATAGTGTACTTGCGGCAAAGAATATTCCTCCTTTTAAAGAAAAAAAATTCTAGAAAAAGTATTTTGAATTAACAATTGACTAAAGAAAATATCTTTAGATTAGGTTGGAGTGGTAGCCTTGACGCACAAGGCATAAATAAATGGCCTGTTGTGACGGTACGAATAGAGACTTTGCTTATGCGCTAAACTAAGAACACCACGGAAGTAGGCATAGAGGTTTGCACGTATATAACATTATAAGGAACGAGTAGGACTCTCTCATTTAACTAAAACTGCAAGTATCATTTTCTTCACTTTTGCATAGGCTTTGCATAACCTAGTGACTTATTAGCACCAAAACTATAGTGTTGAGTAGATTCCGCTTTAGTTGAAATAAAACAGAGTAGAATGTTTAATAATATATCATGTTGTGTTGTCAGTACTGTACGAAGATATGAAGACAATGAACTGCTAAATTCGGATTTGGTTTATAACAATGACTTTAAGAGTATTTAAGATATCGAATTAATAGATTACCTCCACCACAGTTCTGATCTGTGGTCAAACTAAAGCAGCAGACGAAATCTAGCAACGCAAATGGAGCTATATAGCGCACATTTCAATAAGATTAAATAGCAATATTGCAATTGATAGGCATTGAAGTGGAGTCTGTACGGTTTAAGACGATCAAGTACGTCAGCTATATGTTGCAGAAGAAAAGTGAAATGCAAATAATTTATGGAACGTCATTGTCAACAATTCCAATAAAAAGTTCCTTTAAAATTATTAGCAAAGGCTGTAGGCTTCATAGAGCTGCTATATTGATCGGATATAGTATTGGTCAGGCCCAAGTGATACATTTCTGGTTAGAAAAGAATATGTGAAATGAAAAATAAATAGCGTGGCAACATTTTCTACCGCCCAAATAAAAGCCGTTGTAACGTTCAAGTACCAATTTTTGAAGACATATGCTTCGAATGCATGTAGAAGTATATATATTAATGAGGAGAAAATTAAAAAAAAAAGACTTTTAATGACGAATTACAGTTTATATTTGTTATTATATTATTTCACAAATTTGGGGATCGCCAGAGAGTAAATTTCAAAGTATATGGCACTTCATTTGAACACCTCATCTCCTCACTCATAACGTATCCTTTTCAATTACCAAGATATGTCTTCGGATTAAGGCCATGAAAAGATTGTGCCATATGCTTATGTTTAATACAATATATCTATCTTATGTATCTCCCTTATGTATCTGCTCTGTGGCCTTTGTTCCAAGTGTGTTCGCATCGCAATGTGCCAAATGTAGCTCAAAAATATTACTTTAACCTTTACGTGTTGTTGTTATTGTTGTGGTTAGATTTACTGTGCTTGTTCATAAATCAATTTAGCAAATTCATATTTTTTTAGTTGCATATTTTACCATCATCACTTTTTTGTTGTTATTACCATTTTTTGTTTGTTTGGTTTTAATATTGTTGCATTTTATGTGAAAGCAACTTTATTTTTCTTGTCAAAATATTTTCCTTTCTTTGGGTTTATAAAAATGCAAATGCATTTTCATCATGGAAAGGAGCACGGAGCTTGGAGCTTGGAGCTCGGAGTTCGGAACACGGAGCACAGAGCTAGCAACATGGAACGTGGAGTACAAAGGACGAACTAAAGAGTGTCAGCATCATAGTAAATCATAAAAAAAATTAAATCAATAAGAACGAAAAATTTCAACATTGAATCATCCGAAACGTATTCCATCCACTCCGCTAAGGACACGTTAAGAAAAATGGTGTTTTTTAAAATGTCAAGAGCAATGAGCGTATAAACTAATTTAAAGTGAAAAATTTTTCTAATCGAAATGACTTGCTTTATATTAAGAAAAATAGATGCGAAAATAAACAAAATAATGTGGGTGCAGAACTTTATTAGAATTGCATTCTAATAGACGAGCGAATGCTTGGTAAATATGTTGAGGAATTGTTTAAAAAGTGCATATTTGTGGGTGTTATAGAAGTACAGAGTGAAGAGTTTATAAAAAACCATTTTTTTAGTATTTAGATAAGAACTACTAAATGAATATAAAATCTATTTAAATAGACAACATTTTATTGAGATAGATATATATGCTAGGGATTGCTTGCACGTGAAGAAGTGGTTGCTTTGTGTACCTAATAACAGATAAGTTTAATGACACGCCAGTTTATTAAATAAATTTTG